GCCGCCGCCGCCGCCAGGTTCGTCGCTGCCGCTGGCACCGCAGCGGCTGCCACCTCCGCCGCTGGCCCCGCCGCCGCTGGACCCACTGCCACGGGCGCCTCCTCCACAGCGGCTGCAGCCCGTTGCCGCGGAGGTGGGGGCGCCCCCTTCGAGACGGGTACTAGACTCGGGCGGCGATGGCTTGCGGCCGCCGACGGCGGACGCCGCCTCCGCCTCCGCCTCCGCCTCCGCCTCCGCCTCCGCCTCCGCCTCCGCCTCCGCCGCCTCCTCCTCCTCCGCCTCCGCCTCCGCCTCCGCCTCCGCCTCCGCCTCCGCCTCCTCCTCCTCCTCCGCCGCCTCCGCCTCCTCGGCCTCGTCCCGCGCCGAGCGGAGCGCCGTCTCGTGCGGCGGGCTGTGAACAGCGCCTATTCACACCTCGAGCTGTAAACAGCCGTCTCGTGCGGCGGGCAGGCTTGGGACACTTCCGAGACACTTCCGAGACACTTCCCAGCCGCCTCGTGCCGCGGGCAGGCTTGGGGCGGGGAGCCAGCTGGGCCGCGACCCGGGCCGCCGCTGCGAGGCGAGGAGGCGTGGGGCGGAGATGCACCGGGCGGGGAGCCGCCCTCCGACTCGGCGGCCGGCCGGACGGCGGTCTCGTCCAGCTGGTGGGGGAAGTGTCTCGGAAGTGTCTCGTCCAGCTGGTGGGGGAAGTGTCTCGGAAGTGTCTCGTCCAGCTGCGTCACCGCCGCCGACTCGTCCTCGCACCTGACGGCCGAGGGCCGCCGCGCTGAGGCGAGATCGGCCGAGATCACGCGAGATCACGCGAGATCGCCCTCCCGAGATCGGCCGAGATCGGCCGAGATCGGCCGAGATCGCACCTCGCGCCGACAATCTCCGAGAAGACGGCGCCGCCGCCGCCCGGCGCGAAGCTCGGCCGCCAGCGCGCCCGCAGCGCGGTGAGGATGGCGTGCCGCTCCGCCGGAGGCGTGGGCTGCTCCATCAGGGACTCGAACGCCTGCACCACGTCGCCGACAGACGCGTCCATCGCCGCAGCCACGCGCGCGGGCGCGAAGCCCATCTCGACCAGCTCCGCGGCCGAGCGCAGCCCGCGCCCCACCTCGACCTCCGCCTCGCGCGGTAGGGACGACTCGTCGAGCTGCGTGTTGGCGAGGCCCTCGGGCGGGCAGGCCGACGCCTGCGACGACGGGAGATCTCGGGAGATCTCGGG